AGACAGCAGGGAGGCCTCACCCACACCCTCCCTGCTTCAGGGGGGTCGGCCACAGTGCTGAACACTCACTTCCCTTCTCTACCTGTTTCCTGTCTGTGAAAGGAGATAACGACACAGCTCTCACAGCCTTCTCGTGAGGATAAACTGACAATTCAAGTGACACTCAGACCACTGCCTGCTACGTGCTAGGTGCTAGGTGCACACCAGGCTTTAGCTGACACTAGTGACTGTTTTTTTTTTTGGGAGAGGTTTTTGCTATAGGGTGTGTGCACTCGCCAGAAAGACAGAGAAAGACAGAGAGCAAGAAATCACTCCCCGGGGGGATGGCCACGCCGCAATCCCTTCTCCATTCTTCTCTCAGGATCTTGGGCACGCATGCACACACACCAGGCATGAGTTTAAGCCATTGGGTCCGGGACTTGAACCACAGTCAACTACATGGGAGTCCAGTGACATAGCCATCATGCCAACTGCTGGTCCCTCTTTTTTTTGGAGAGGTTTTCACTATAGGGCACGTGCGCTCGCCAGACAGACAGAGACAGACAGAGAGACAGAAAGCAAGAAATCACCCCCCAGGGGGGATGGTCACACTGCAATCCCTTCTCCTCCATTCTCCTCTAGGGATCTTGGGCAGACACACACGCACGCACACGCGCCCGGCGTGAGTTTTAAGCCACCGGGTCCGGGACACGAACCGCGGTCGACTATGTGGAAGTCCAGCAACATAGCCATTACACTAACTGCTGGTTCCCCCTCTTTTTTTTTGAGAGAGAGATTTTTGCTATAAGGTGCGTGCGCTCACCAGAGAGACACAGAAAGTGAGAAATCACCACCCCAGGGAGGATGGTCATGCTGCAATCCCTTGTCCATTCTCCTCTTGCGATTTTAGGCACACACACACACACATGCCTGGCATGAATTTTAAGCTGCTGGATCCAGGACTCGAACCATGGTTGACCTCATGGGAGTCTAGCAATGTAGCCATTATGCCATCTTTTTTAATTGTCAGAGGGTGCGTGCACTTGTCAGAGCGCGAAAGAGACAGGGAGAGTGAGTGAGAAAGCACTACGCAATGAGGAATGGCCATGCCGCAGTCCCTTCTCCTCCACTTGTCCAACCTATAGGACTTCGGGCATACATGTGCCCTGTTTCTGGAGCTGTCAGGGCTGGGACTTAAACCATGCAGTTGGCCCTTTGGGATCTGGTTTCCTCAACCACTAGGCCACAGGGCCAGTTTTCTTTTAATTATTTATTTTAATTGTTAGAGAGCTTGTGCATTTTCCGAAGAGACAAAGGGAGACAGAGAAAGCAGCTCAACAGGGTGATTACAACACAATCTCTTCTTTTCTCCTTCCTGCTGGGATTCGGGGGCACAGCACATATGTTTCTGGCATGTTTTTCAAGCTACTGGAGCCAGGACTCTAACTGCAGTCAGCAATGTGGGATCCTGCTCCTTTAACCACTAGGCGACAGGGCTGGCCCTCTGTACTGACATTTCTGATGTCTGCTTGGCACTGTGAACCTAACGTTCCCAATGAACTTTCTTCGTTTTTCTCTCCCACTGCTGATCTGGGCAGAAACCTTAGTTATCCCTAACATGTTTTCCTCACACCCAAAACCAAACGCTAGGTGAATTTTGTCAGGTCTGCCTACAACACGACACCCAGAATCTCACGTCTTCCACTGCTTTTGCTCTCATGTGAGCCACCATTATCTACCTGTTTCTCATATACATCTTGCAGCCAGAATCTGTTAAAAGTTATTCGGATGTGTTACTCCTCTAGGCGAACGTTTCAATGGTTCCTACCTCACTCACAAGGCCTCACCCCATCTGTAATCCCTCTTACTTCTCAGGCCTTCTCTCCTACTAACTCCTACCCACTCAACTGCTCCAGTCACCCCGGCCTCCTTCCTGTTTGTCAAACATGCAAGCAAGTGCTGGCCTCAGGGCCTTTGCACCCACTGTTCCCCATGTTCGGTATGATAAAATGTGACATTCTACGACGCTGACCCACACAGGAAGGTTCCCGGCTTGCACCCAGAGACCTCCCCGAGTATGCTAGGCTACACCTGCCCATGATTTGGAGTTGGCTGAAAGCTGAGGACATTCTGCAGCATCATGACCTACCGAAGTGCTATCTCTCTGACTCATGGGAAAAATAAATAAAAGAAAAAGTAAGGGGGCTGGATTTGTGATGCAGTGATAAGGTGCTGCTCAAGAGAAGGCAGGTCTCACGTGGCAAGCATAGTTCAAATCCCTGGCCCAGTCATTCTGAAATATGCCAGGCACATACAAGTGTACAAGGTTCGACGGGGTAGGTAACTGGAGAAAGGGGGATGTGGCATGACCAGGCCCAAAGAGGGCTCACATGCATGCACACAGACTCTAATCATAACAAAGAAATAAGGAAAAAGAGTAAGGGCCAGGAGATGGCATGGTGGTTAAGGTGCTGGACTCCCACATGGCTGACTGAAGTTTGAGTCCTGGATCTAGTGACTTGCTTCCTCATTTTGTCTCTCTCTGATGAGTGCATGAGCCCTTAGCAAATTAAATAATAATAATAATAAAGTAATTCTGTTTTTTGGGAGAGGTTTTTGCTACAGGGTGTGTGCACTCACCAGAAAGACAGAGAGAGACAGAGACATAGAAAGCGAGAAATCACCCCCGGGGTGATGGCCATGCTGCAATTCCTTCTCCATTCTCCTCTTGGGATTTTGGCCACGCACGCACATGCACTTGGCTTGAGTTTAAGCCACCGGGTCTGGAACTCAAACCGCAGTTGACTACATGGAAGTACATGAGAGTCCAGCGACATAGCCATTATGCCAACTGCTCGTCCCTCTTACTGGACCTTACTGACCACACATTAGTTAAAATACCTTGTAAGCTGTGCAGTTCCTGTTAACTCTGAGTATCTAAAGGATAAAGCAGTATTTAAATGTTAGGTATATTTGTGCCACTGTAAGCTATACTGTAGCTATTTATCATGTGAAATCCAAATGACGTCTTTGGAATAGTTGACATACATGCTACGTGTGTTCTGAAGTTTTTAGACAATAGTAGTCTGAGAGGTTAATAAAGATAATAAACTTGTTTCTGTTTCCTTTAAAGAGATGATATTGGAAAATACAGTTTTTTTGTAAGAATGTTTGTCTTAAAAGATAATATTCTGTTCTTTAGACAATGGAAGTTATTTTATTTTGTTTGGATAAACTGAAAGTGCTTCAGTGTTGGAAAGCTTTTTTTTTTTTTAAAGATTTATCTATTTATCTGTTCATTCATTCATTCACTCATTCGATTTAACTTAACCAGAGAGAGACAGAGAGAGATAGAGAGAGAGGGGGGGGGGAAAGTGAGAAAGCAAGCCACCAGGTCCAGGACTTGAACTGCGGTCGGCCATGTGGGAGTGTCCAGCGCCTTAATCACCACGTCACCTGCTGGTCCTCCTTTCTTTCTTTCTTTTTTTTTTTTTTTAAAGATTTATATATTTATCTATTCATTTATTCATTTTAATTTAACCAGAGAGAGACACAGAGAAAGAGAGAGGAAAGTGAGAAAGCAAGGGAAAGCTTTTTTCATTTAAAAACTTTTGGGGCTTATAACATACTACTTGTTAAATTTTAGGAGAACTCACTAATTTTCTCAGATCAGATGAAAGCTTCTAAAAAATAAATGCTTTCAGTAGCAGAGCTTAATAAGCAGGATAAACCTTTGGGTAGTGTTTTATTAACGTATTTGTAAGTACTTGTTCATCGTGAAAAGTGTACTTGACTAAAAACCTATGTGGCTATGAAGCCACTTTTGTAGTTCAGGATATACAGGTTTCATGTGTGTTTAGCTTATCGTATTAAATTGTTACTGCACTTAACCTAAAATAAGGATTAAAATTGCATTTTGGAACTGAACTTTTTGTGTGCAAATGCAAACACTATGAATCAGTGCTTGGGAAACTTGCTTTCTCAGTCTGTTAATAAAAGAAATAATATATGAAGAAATTGGAAACAAATAAACTTCACCAAGTACATCTGTCTATGAGAGGATGTTATTAAATACATAAAGATTCACATATATCTCCATATTGATAGTACATACATACCATCCTATTTAAGAATGCAACCCCTTTTTTTTTTTGGAGAGGTTTTTGCTATAGGGTGCGCGAGTCGCCAGAAAGACAGAGACAGAGACAGAAAGTGAGAAATCAGCCCCGCAGGGGGGACAGCCACACTGCAATCCCTTCTCCTCCATTCTCCTCTCGGGATCTTGCGCCTGGCGTGAATTTAAGCCGCCAGGTCCGGGACTCAAACCACTGTTGACTACATGGGAGTCTAGCGACATAGCCATTACGAAATGGACTACCTCTAGATACAATATTTACCTGGGACAGGGAAGTGAAATTAGTTTGACGGCTATTTAGGGGAGGGGGATACTGCCCACTAGGTAAGACCTGCTCCAATCCAAGGACATTCTGCAGAGAGGTGGGATGGCAGTGAGGGAGACAGTTGTCAACACAGTGTGGGAACATCACCTGCACTTTGAGAAGTATTTACTTGTTTAAAAAATCTGTCATGGTAATTAAACAAACAAACAAATAAATAAAAAAGATCTGTCATGTTCTGGGGAGTAATGAAACCTATGATGATGAACTGTCAGTCTACAGAGTTTTCATATTATACAAATAGACAGGATGCCGTTTGTATAAAAACGGGGAGGCGGATGCGGAATCTAGTCAAGGGGAATATTCACTCTGATGAGGTTTTCCCTACTCTTATTCATTTTTACGGGGTAGATGTGCCCGTCTCTCATGCTGACAGGTATTTACCAAGCTGGTAAAGACCTTCTTCCTCCCAGAGGTGTTTAATCTAGTTAGTAGTACCCACCGGATTCCGGGCCAGTGCAGCAGGAGCCCTGATCAAGTAGAATCGCGAGACGTGAGCACTGCTGCACGGTACGACCCAGGCGAACGTGGCCACGGCAGTGTTTACCTGGGTTAAGTTATTACCTTGCAGGAAAGAGGCAGAACCATCCGGCCGGGAGAGTAGGTTCTGTTCGCAAGCAAAGTGCCGGAGGCTGCACCCTGGCCCGCGAGGGCCAGACTCCGTCCCAGTCTCTGTGCGGACCTTGGTGTCAGTCTGCGTTGCCCACTCCATCGCCTCAGACCCCACGTGTTGCGGGACTTGTTTCCGCCCCGCAGCGCGCGCTTGCGCGCAGATGGTGTATCCAGTGCGCACGCGCCCAGCCGGGAACCGCGCGGACCGTCTGAATCTGCGCCAGCACGTGGCACAGCGTTTACCAACAATTTGGCTCCGCCCACTTACGCTACCTAATCCCGGAAAAGCTATTGGACATTAGAAAAAAAGGGCGGGCCTTGTCATGGGCTGGGGCCGCCAGAGGCCCCTGGGCCCTAAAGTCCCGAGGCTCAGGTCAGGCTGCCTTCTTCTTTGCCTGTTATAGGAGCAACAACGGTGAGGCAATCGGACTAACTTGGGGGAAGAAATATTGCCTCCTACACTCCTTCTTGCATCCCATAAACTACGCTTTCAAGTAGGGTTTTTTTTTTGGCAGGGTGGTGCCGGCAGTTGAGTCAGGCTCATGAAGGGCCAGACCCAGCCTGGCTGTGGACGAGGCGGAGCGCCAAGTAGTTATTAGCCAATATGGCGGGAGGGGG